GTTGAATAAAGACATACGTCCATCAAGTCCAACCCATATAGGTCCACGCATCATCTCATTCTTAGGGATACTGGTATCCCTGGATATTACGGTCCCCCAAGAAATTGTCCAAACATTTCTTGAACAAATCTACACTCTTGGCTGAAATCACTGCCGATGGCAGTGAGTTCCAGACCTTCACCGCTCTTACTGTAAAGAACCCTCTTCGCCCATTGTGCTGGAATTTTTTCTCCACCAACTTTAGGCGGTGGCCTCTAGTCTTTGTAATGGAGTTAATCTCAAACAGTTTGTTGCCAATGTTGCTGTCACCATTGAACATCTTGTACATGAAAATCCTATCCCCCCTTAATTCCAGCGTAAACATGTTTAAGGTCAGAAGCCTTGTCTCATAGCTCTGGTCCTCCATTCCCCTAATTAGTTTGGTTGCCCTCCGCTGGACTCTCTCCAGTTCAAGGACATCCCTTCTCAGTACCGGCGACCAAAACTGGACCGCATACTCCCAGATGTGGCCGAACCAATGATCTATATAGATGTACATTTTGTTTGGTGTCGAGTTTATGAATGAGCAAACCACTGCCCTTTCCTATCTACTCCCCCATGTGAAGCATTTGTTGGCATACACAGAGAAAAAAATGTACTGTGCCATTTCTTATCTGTTGCCTGGAATGTATTTATCTAAAAAGAAAGCTGAGCGTTTAATACTGCTTTAACATTTCTCTACTGGTCTCAATGTTTAACAACATATTTCGTTGTCATTATATGCAGGGCAAGCGGAAATATATAATGTCTCTGAGATGAGAGCCAACTTTTTGCAATTTGCAAAGCTGTGTCCTGACCCAAATCTGGTGGGGTTAAATCTACTGGAGCATCTGGAGACTGTTCCCCTTACTGAGCTACAAGCCAGTCAGTACTCTATTTAATTATCATTTAAGTGAATGCAAAAAATGTTTTGTTTTTTTACATTTTATTTTGGATGGAGTAAGGAAGTGTTAAAATCCTTTTTGCTGTAGCCCATTTCCATCAATACAGAAAGTGATGGGTGATCCAAAACCTTAGGCATGCCACAGGAGCAGGAGATGAGGGGTAGTCTTCCACCGGAGATGACTCTTCAATGACAGACCATAGTGCTGGGGTCTATGAGACTTGCAGCGCTTACATCCAAAGCGGCCAGTGTAATGCTCTGGACTACAAATCCCAGAGACGTCAAGCTTATCCCAAGGATGAGCCCAGCTGTAAAGCTTGGCAAAACTTTAATTTCTATTTGTTGTCTGTTCTTGCAGTAAACTTCAAGGAGACTGACCCAGTAGCATTAAAAGTACTTTACTTGGCATTACAGCCAGGAAGTAGAACGGCAGGGTACTTCTTCAGCATATAAACAAGATTTGCTGGCTATAGAAGACAGCGCTCATCACTGGAGATTGATTTTGTGGCACAGCAATGTTTGACTGCTTTAACTGGGGTAAGATTGTTGTGCCCAGAGCTAGGCTTAAATCCTTCTCTTTTCTCATAAAAAGAAAAAAGGTTTTAGCTTTCCATAGTTTAAAGGGCCAGTCCACCTAAATGTAATAGGTGAAGCCTGTTGGGCTAAGTCAATCTATAGCTTCATGTATGTCTCAGACACTCTGAAAGTAAGATCTTTCTGCCATATTTACAGACTTTGTTCCAGCACCCCCTTTTGCATTTTTTTTTAATATAAAATGTGGCAAGTTGGAACCCCCTTAGGGCTAAGACACACTAGCCCGCGTGCTAAAACGCTCAGTTTTAGCGTGTGGGCTAGTGTGGTGTGACAGGTCTGGTGGGTGGGTGGTGTGATTTGATGTTTAAAGGGTTTGCTTTTGTTTCACATTTTATTTGGAGTGTACAAAGTACACACTCAATTCATTTCTCTGCACAGTAGCATGGTGTGCTGCGGGGCGGTGACCTGCAGTGTGAGACATTGTATACAACACTGCACATCACACCTGCGTTGTGTGAACAGGGCACATACGCAAGTCATCGCTTTTAGCGTGAACAAGCCCTTAATAGCCACAGAAGGTGTACAGACCCTCAAGAGAGATCTCGCCAACAGAGGTCCTGAGAGATATAAGAAACTGTCATCTGCTAAAAACTGAAATCTCAAATTTGGATTGAATGAACCTTTATTTATATTTTATTTCAGCTTTGTAATTAATTATTCTGTTTCATTATTTTGTCTCTTTTTTTTAACCTTCTACAGATTTGTAGTTTGTCCTTTATTTCATATAGTTTATTGTTTAACTGTTATTTTCCCTGTGTTATTTTTAGTTATTGAGGTCCTCATCTCTGCACATGATTGCTTCAGTCTGACTTGTCACTTGGAGGGGATAAGGCGTGTTTTACATGTATGCCGCCATCTGACGGAGATGCACTTGGCACCAAAACAAGAGTATAGTCTCATGGTATGTCCTTTGTCCTTCTGACCTCTGTCCCTGATCCATTTTATTCTAGGTGCCTCATAGTGACTCTCTTCCAGGTTAGGCTCCTGTCTGGGATCGGTCGCTACAATGATATGGTTTATGTGTTTGACATTCTACATAAGAACCAGCACTTTGAGCTTCTGCTGAGGAAACAGCTGGATACTGTGAGTAGAAACAACGTTCTACAAGATGTATTTTTTGTGATGAATGCTGGTTGTTATTGTGAAAAGTGAAATCTTTGATATGTCTTTCACAATTTACCGTGTAGAAAGGTGGATTGCAGACAGCGCTTCTGGAGTATATTAAACGTTGTCATCCTGGTGACAGTGAAAAACACAACATGACCGCACTATGCTTTAGCCTGCACCGTGATATCGGCCACAACCATGAACATGCAGCAAAGATCCAACTCAAGTTAATCCAGTCTCAACCTTGGGGTGAGTGTTGTAGGGAAATCTATAGGATTATCTCAAGAAATAATGTAAAAGAGACATCGGCACATATTAAAAACATCAATGACTGACGTTAAGTATTTACTAAAAGAAACAGTAAATGTATTTAAAATGCAGATAATATAAATACCTGGCTCTGAATTCAGCCACTTGTCATACCCTGTACATCAGCACTGGTTGTGGGAGGGGCAGCAGTTGGGGCCAGTCAGATATCCTGCATTCCTCTGTGTGGACAAGAAGCATGGTAACTGGAAGAGAGAGCAACCTCATCAGTCTATTTGCTGCTCCTCTACTCTCCAATCGGGCTGGGGGCAGTAAGGTGACCTAACTGTGTTGCTTAACAGTAGGGATGAACTCAGGTTCGGACCGTACCCAGTCCAAACTTGAGCTCTTCCGAACACAGAGGAAGCTTATTTTGCTGCCGCCCAATCAGCTTTGGCCAGGGAATTCTGCGATAACAGATGAACATAAGCAAAGGGGCAGGATGCAGATATGTCATTGATTTTATATGGCCACTTGGCTATATTTGGCCATTAGCATAGAACTTATATGGCCATGTGGCCATATAAAGTTAGTGACATCAGCAGAAGCATCCCTCCCCTTTGTTTATGTGCAGCTGCAGGATGGGAACACCCTGGCCCACAGCTGATTGGGTGTGTGGCCCATGGACTTCCTGTTCCTATGAGCTCAGGTTCAGACAAGGTTCGATCTGTCCTTGAGTTTATCTCTAGTCCCCAAGCTGGCTGTGCTGTCTGGTAGGGCTTTGTAAATCTCAGGACTCTATGGACAAAAATGCAAATCCTCTGCCTAAGAGAGTTGTCGTATATGCGTTTCATCTGGGTACTTAGTTGTTTGCCTGAAGTTCAGCTTTACTCTTAGCAGAGGAAACATTAGACCCCAAAGAAAACAGCACATGTATTCGTGTCAATATAAAAATTGATTTAAATTCAACTAATTCATATTACCTGCTGGAAAGACCTCAGAGATATGGAATGTATCATTCCTGTAACACGTCTTTCATAACATATGCCTTTCTTAGGACTGTGATCGTTTCCTGTCTTCATTGCATTGGTCATTTGTTTTTTTAAATTAGTAATATGGCTATAGGAAGGCCTCTCCTCATTTCAACCTTTTAGAATCATCTGCAGAGCATGTTGCTGTGCAAGCAAATGCAGAATCACAGTCGTCATGCCCCTGACAACACATGAATGACCAAAGTCCCATTGTATAACTGAACTAGGCGCCTGAAGGAACTATTGTAGGACTGACTATCTATAAACCCTTTCTATCGGTGTTTGTTACGGCAGTACCTCTCTTTGCACCTACTGCAACATATCATGGAAAAAGGGTGATGCAGGAAGGGGGCTGGGCATTGAGACACCATGAGAATGTATGGCTATGAGTGCAATTTATTATATCTTAAGCAAATACTAAAAGTTTGTTATCTGGATCTTTACTGAGAAATTGTTTGTGTGCAGAATATTGGATGTCTGAATTAGAAGAGCTGAAATCTTCCATTATGAAGGCACTCACTCTGCTTATTGATGCTGCTGAGAGCTATTCAAAGGTAAACTGGTCCACTCCTGACTGCAAGAGAAAATCCTGGATTAGTGAAAAGAGCTGCGCACTGTATGGTCAGCAGCTAGGTTTAGTGAAGACTGATCTTTGTGTTTCCTTACAGACTCCTTATATGTTTTAGCTCTGTTGTGTAACTTGGGCTGAACCACAGATAAAAGGTGCCCATAAACATTAGATGCCTGTGGTCCCTTTCTGAAACCCTTGGCAGGATTGGCTGAAGATCATGATTCTGCCGGTACCCACAGATAGCAGCAGACATTCCTGGCCAACAGATCTTTGGGAAAGAGCTTGCACACAGATCTTACTTTGGTGAAGGACTTTTTGCAGATTCCAAGCTACTCTGAGCAGTTTGAAAAGTGAAAGTATAGTGTCAAACGAAGGGTCAGACTGAGCTTCCTTTTATTAACACACAATGCCGCAAAGGCTTGAACCCTTTGTTAGGATAGACAGCGATCAAATCTAGTTTACAGCTGATAATGAAACATGCCAGCAAAGTACAGACGGGAGGAAACAAAACCTCCTTAAAATTACATGGTGGGAAAGCTAGGTGGGAGTTTCAAAGCACTTAAAATGTAAGCAGCATTTTTTTTAAAGTTCTGCTTTGTGAATGAGAACATGTAACAAACATAAAATATGTATTGTCCTCATTTGGTTTCTAAAGTGGATATACACTTTAAAGAGACCCTGTCATCAACTTTAAAAAATGCAGCAAAAAGCACAGAAAAATCAAGTATCCTTAAATGCTTATTTTCAGCATTTTTTATTTCAATTATTTTCAATTAATTATATTTCGATTAGCCAAACTTCAGCCCCTCCAGCTGTGGTAAAACTGCAAATCCAATCATACCTTTGGAAGTTATGCCTGTGGCTGTCATAGTCTTGCAATGCCTCATGGGATTTATAGTTTCACCACACCTGGAGAGCCAAAGTTTGGCTACCCCTGGACTAGAGTAAGAACAAAATATAAGTGCGTCAAATGGTGGCTAGATTTGGGCCTAAAACAAAGTCCTCTGTTGCATCCAGCCTATGATGGGTAGCCACAAAGCCAGTCACCATGCTACCAATAAATTCCGGTGTAAATGCCGCCATCTTTCCGATTTATGTCACCATTAAGAGGGTGGGCACAGCTTGTCTACCATCAAGTGCTGCTGTGTAATCCCATGTATGCCACAATACATCCTTCATTCATCACAGGGAAGCTCCTGATGCTTGTCTCTTCCTTCACATTGCTCTGGCTGCGCAGGAAGTCACACTAGAATACAGAACAACTGGGCAGCCGTGGTGAATTATGTGCGCACATCATCACTGGGAAGCAGGTGTTTGCACATGAGACAATCAAGAAAGTTTATTTTTATCATTTGCTGAAATGGCTGAATCTCTTATTATAGTAACAGCTCAAAACACAAATTAGATTGCAGTTGTAACATTTTAACGTACATCCTCAACATTGCTTTTATTGACGTTTGATGACAGGAATTCGTTAATCATTATCTCCATACAGATTAATAGTAATAATGCTAAATATGTGGGTGGGTGGGTATTTATATATTATTTACGAGGTCCCATGCAAATTGGATGTAATGTGCAGTCACTTTTTGGGGTCTCCAAGAATTTATATTGATAAATTATATTATAATACCAAGTGTACAGCAAATCACAACCTGTTGCTTATAATAACCAAGGCTTTATGATTGCATTCATTGTGTTTTTCCTGTACCCATATATGTAGGATTCATGTGTCCGTCAGTCCCTGCGATGTGCCCGCCTCACCCGTCTTCTGACTCTACAGCTTCACCTATTGAAGAGTGGTCACAAAACTAGGCTCATCAATTTGGATCGAGAGAACTTAATGGAGGCCATATTGGCACTGCCACGATTCTACCAGGTATGTGCTGCACACGGGCTAATACTTTTGTCACACGTTTGCCTACTGTACATCAATACATTAGCAGCAGGGTCTAGGAAGATAAGATTTACAGAATGATGGATGAAGCCAAATGCAGGGCAGTTTTTTTTTTCTAGAAGTCCCATTTCATATTTTATTATTCACCACCATCCTAAACACACAACACTGGAATGGTTTAAAACCAACAACCTGAATGTCTTAGAATGGACTAAGTAGAGGCCAGACATCTATCTGCTTGGACATATATGGCAAGACTTCAAAAAAATTACTCTTCTCAACAGCCCTTATCCTATCCAACAGAGCTAGAGAGTTTTGAAAGGAAGAATAAGAACAAATGGAAGGGTCCTTGTGTAAGAAGTTGGTATTTGCTTAACAGCCCGGGGTAGAGGCCTGCTGCAGGCACCTCTAGGTTCCTCTATTGGCATTCTTGTACCAGTTGACTTTTACAGGTTGGTGGAAAATGTACTTTATCTACTTAGTAATTCACTCATCTGGAACAAGCATGTGGCCAGGGAAGTCTGATCACCCATCCTACATATTTGTTTCAGGTCATTGATTTACTTGATAGTGAAGCCAGGGTAAGGAGGCCTGCACCTTCGGACCCATTCACGCCAACATTATAAGGTAATCGCAAGGCAACAAAGGGTCCTTCCGATCAGAAACCTTCCGATTTCTGTGCAATCTGATCAATTGTGTTGCGATTTTTAGGCTTTTTTTTTTTTTTGGTCAAACTTTATGTGAAGTGACTTGTTCAGAGTGGACATAATTCACTAAAGGTTTTGTTGCGTTAGCATGCCTTTTTGCAGCGTTTCGTTGCACATTACCGTCCATTGAAAAACGGATCGTAACACAACACAATGGATTCAATTGAATGGGGCCTCAATAGCAAATCAGCAGTGGCGATGCTCATACTTCTAATCCTCATAAGTTTACTTTAAAGTCAAGCTGTGCTTTGCTAGTTTTCCTTACTACAGGCCTCAACAGACACATATACTTGCATATGGAGTGAAGGAAAGCCCTGTCACTGGAGTTGCAGCTCACACAGGGCTTATGGACATATCACATGCTCTTCTATAGGTGGAAGTAGCTCCCAGCACTGAATGGTGTACTGGGGCACCAAAGCAAAGATAAGTCTATGCTGCTGGAGATAGGCAAAGCACAGGTGGAGATGGGGAAGTCATTGTACTTTTTGAGTTCACTGCAGTGGATACTTGATAGCAGATTATGTGTCCAACAAACTATCAAAAAAGGAAGATATGGTAAAGGAGATCAAAAAAGTTTTAGGACCAGGACTTGATTTGGGAAAAACGATTGTGTTCTAACAACATTTTTAACTTTATTCTTTTTTTATTTATTTTAAAGACCAAGAAACAATATAAAACCCAAAACATATTAACAAAAAACACATCCTAATGTATACAACATAACAGACACCTACATTCCAAATTTACAGCATGAATATGTACAGTAACGATAATAGAAAGGATGCATTTTTGCAGCGAATGACCTCAAAAGGGAATACAAGCCCACGTCTTCTATTCAAATATAGCTGTTGGGGGATCATTGGAAATCATCCTCTTGGTATACCACGGGGCTGAGATAAAAGATTGCATACTTTAAAAAAAATGTTTTTATAATAGTCCATAAAGAGTCAATAAATGATTCCCACACATCAAAAAACTTTTGGGTTTGGGTATCTTTACTGAGCATTGTCTCGATCCAGTCATCAACTTGCTCAGAAAGAGAATTAAAGACGGTGGTTCAGAATATATCCATTGGTGCTGGATGCACCAAGGACGTTTTTGAACAGAAAGGTTATTGGTCTGTGATAATAGATTTGGGCAGTTACACTAGTAAATCATTCAAACCGGTTTAAGAATTGCAGACACACAGAACTATAAACCCATCGGTAACAAAATGCAGTCTTATAGCCATGTTATAGTTAATCATTAGGTCTGTAATGGATTGTGTCACTGTATTCCCTCTTCATGGATCCTACCATTCCTGTCTTGTCTTTTAGGCTGTTATACTTACTGAAGCTTATGACGTGCAGCCAGACTGGGCTGAGGTTCTGTATAACAAAGTGGTTCTTGGAGGTGACTTCCAGTATCTAAAAGAACTGAAGCAGCGGCAGTTGCTCAACAAAGGAGTGTTTGAGCAGATATCCAACAAGTAAGATATAGAGCAGTGTGTGTATGTATGGGGGAGAGGACAATTGTAGATACATGATTCGTGGGATAAGGCTCTAGTCTAAAGATTACAGTATTATCTGGGGATGACATCTGCCTGCCAAAAACTATGTGAATACAGCACTATTTTGTCAATGAATATTGAAGTGGAACTCCTGCCAAAACATATTTATTGTTAGTATGGGATGGAGCTAGACGATATCTCCCTAAAACGGAGGCAGACTGCACAAAAATGTATTGGTGGTGTAGATATTAGTGTTGGCCTGTGGTCGCAGACTGCCAGTTTTATGTAAGCAATGCATTCTCCAGGCACCAAATACAGTGGCTTGCAAAGTGCCATGGTGGGATTCTCCTACAAAGTAGAAACTCAGAGCATGGCACAAGAGGTGTGTGTGTGTGTGTGTACACAGTATATATATAATGTGTTTTTGTTGTTTTATTTTTAGGTGTAAACTGAACCCCCCAGGAGTGACTGGACTGCAGAACTTGAAATGCGTCATCGGTGATTGCGAGGACATTAACGTGCGATACAATTTAGCCATTGAGAACAATTTCTATGACATCACTGATGTCCTGATGAGAGACTCCCAGACTCGCTGTTGTCTCACTGATATGCTGTCTCAGTAATACAAACTGGAGCCATTCTAATCATCCGAGTGATAACACATCGTTAGAATATACAGTTCAGCACTTTCTGTTAATCTACTCAATACAGTGTTTCCAAATGCATTTGTAGCCAATCAGAGGCCTGTTATCTACCTCCATCCAATGTATAACCAACCAGCAAATTAGCATTCTTAATCTGACTTCTAATAATAGTCAATGAAAATGTTTTATCTTATCTCAGGTCATGTAAGCGAAATTGGTTTATTACACGGGAACGGACTATGTCATGTAAGTTTTGTATGAAGTGAGACAGGATTATATTGCTGTATTGGGGAGATCTGCTCTGCCTGTTGTCCTACCCTGAGAGAAAATCTCTTCAATGTGAGGGGAAGATTCCCTCTTAAGGGGACACTAACTCAGGAGTTCAATCTTAAAAAGGCATTCAAATACTCTATTAACAAAATTGTATCTTATTAGTGTATCACGCGGTTGTAGATCCTCCAATCATCTCTGAATTGGTGCTGACACTGTCCTTCCTTTTGGAGGGGGGCTACTTTTGTTCCCCATGGCCCTGTGTGTGTTGTAAAGTAGCCACCGCTCCAAGCTCACTCCTGTGATGGACTACAATCTCAATACAAATGAGTAAACTAAACATGAGATTGTAGTCCATCATGGGAGTGAGCTTGGAGCGGTGTCTACTTTACAACACACACAGGGACCATGGGGAACAAAAGTAGCCACCCTCCAGAAGGAGGGACAGTGTCAGCACCAATTCAGAGGTGATTTAAAGTGACATTAAATTCAGGAGTTAAATCTTAAACGCGCTTTCGACGCTCGTTTTAACCTCCCTGGCGGTTTGATTTTTTTTTTCTCTTTTTTCTCTTTTTTTAACTTTCAAACTTTTTTTTAACTTTCCCTTGCGGACGCTCGCAAGGGATGGATATGCGCAGAAATACGCCCCAAAAGAAGCTCCTGTACTAGTTCGGGCGTAGGGAACCATGCCCTTGGGAAATTATGAGATTTCACTGCTTGAGCGTTTTTCAGCGCTGAAAAACGCCCAGGTGTGAATCCAGCCTTTCGTTGACTTCAGACCTGCTTATTTCACCAAACAAGTCAATGAGATTGCAACATTATTTGGAGCAGATCAAATACAGGCCATGTGCATGAATCAGAAGCTTCTCAAACTGATATCAACAACATGCTGCATTTTCCCAGGGAAGCCTGTCAGCACAGACCTAAGCGGGATGTCAGATGGAAGCGCTTTGACGGCAACATTTTACTACTGTGATCTCCTGCTCCTTCCACATAGAAAATGAATACGTGCTTTCCCAGCTTCCTGGGAATAGATTATGAAGCTCACTGCTAAACGGCAAAGGAGTATACATTGTGCTAAGCAGACATTAGAGCGCATATAATGATGATGGAACCACAAATATGAAAAAAAAAATGTAGCGCTTGCAGTTAACAAAATACGCTGCAAAAGACAGCAAGCGGCATATCCCACGGTGTAGAATGCTGTGCTGTGCATTCCAAGAGCTCCATGGTCCATGGGCTTGGATCACACTGGCTGGAAAAGTGTTTATTCATCTGATATGGAAGGACTGTATAGCTCATGATCACAACACAGCGTTATTAAACTCTTCCCATTGGCTGTTGTTTCTCATGGATAAGCAAGCATCAGTCCCTGCTTCACCTCTTCCCTTCCATTAAAATATAACAAAACCCAAGAACAATGATGTCATATATTGTAAGTGACCAGCCCTTGATGTGGTGGCTCCATTCACAGAAAGGAGGTGTGATATTTGCAGGTTTAGCGGGTGAAAATCAAAGGAAGAAAATCACTATGGCAGCCAGCTCATCCAAGCTCTGGTAAGTAGCAGTATATTAAGTTTAGATATGGTTTACATTTTCTCTGCAAGTTCTGCTCAGCCAGGTCAGAAGGCTTGTGTTCTGTTCTGCAGTGCATAGAGCACATACCGGGAATCCCCATTTTTGGTCAAAAATAATAAATTGAGCTACCTTATAATTGCTATATTTTATAATGAAATGTTATTAAAATAATCTTTAGTGAGCTACTATTGTCTACAACTGCATTGATACCAAAAGTATGCACCGAGCTCCCCAGCACTGCCCTTAGGTGTACTGCTGTGAGCCTGTCATTTGTGCCGGTCACCTCACCCCACATATACAGGGGTGCTGAGAACACTTTGTGTCTCCCTTTACAACACTGGGGCTGTGATTAGAACAGACACTCCTTTCCATTCAGCAGTGAGCTTGGAGAAGTTACTGAAATGACTTTTTTCTCTGCATAAGCAAGTAAGGATCTTCAGTGGAGTTCACAAAACGTTTTGTAATACATATGATTCACCTGGGAAAAAAAAGCAATTTTTTCTTTTGTTTAACCACTTGCTGACCGCTGTGTTTAGACCCCCTTCCTGGCCAGGCCATTTTTCAGTATTTAGCGCTGCGGTACTTTGACTGACGTTTATTCCGTCATGCAACGCTGCACTGAAATGAATTTACAGATAGAGCTTTCTTTTGGTGGTATTTAATCACCACTGGGGTTTTTTATTTTTTACTATATTATAGAAAAATTACTGAGAAAAAAAAAAACTTTCCCCTATATGAAATTATAAAACATTATTACCCAATTTCTTTGGTAAAATATAAAAGGCGGGGTCACGTCGAGTAAAAAGACACCAGATATGTCAAGCCAAAAAAACTACATTACCCAAAATTGGCCATAGGTGCTTTTACCGCTCATCAGTTTAGGTCTCGTTCACACCTAGGCGTATTGCATATGCGTATCTGTCGCGCGTTTTTTTACCCCGATTCATGGTAAAAAAGTCGCGTGACCGTCGCGCGTTTCCGAAGGCTACTTGGCTGTATCCCAATGGAAACGCGCAACAAAATGGCCCAAAGTAGTACCTGTACCTTTTCAGGCGTGGGCCGTTTTGTAGCGCTTTAGGGGCGGGCGGAAATACGCCAAGGTGGGAACGAGACCATTGAATACAATGGGATTTATATTTTTGAGCGTTTTGTAGAGCGTTCGTCGAGCGTAGAACGCGCTACAAAACGTTCAGGTGGGAACGAGGGCTTAGTGTTATCAGTGATTGATGGCCCTAAAATGATTGCTCTCACTCTGACGTTCACTTCGATATGTAACGTGTAATGCAATTGTCGTTTTTGCGCTCTGACGCATATTTACGTTTGTGCGTGTTTTTTTTTTTATTTATATAATTTTTCCCCCCACTTTTATTGTTATCACATGGGGGGGATACAAATCCGCCTATATAATAGCAAAGGCACACTGATAGGTCCTTTTTATGGAGACATTAGGGGTCCCTAGGACCCCTAATGTCACCTGGGGCCCCCAAAAGAAGCTGATGAAGCACAGATCTGCTTCATCGGCTTCTGTTCTCTCGCTATAGCAGCCAGATGACTGACAGGTGAATGCCGAAGTGATGTATTACACAGCCGCTGATCGGTTGTATGTGAAACCGCCAGTAACGGTTGTAAAGAACGATAACACAAAATCACCTGTACTCCATACAGCATACAGACCTTGTATGAAAGGTTGGTGCTTGAAGCGACAACACGGATGGCGCCGCGTCAGATACAGTCCATAATCAAAGTCACCAGCACTCGATATGTGCAAGAAGTAAAGCACTTTTTATTCAATCGTCACATGCATCATACAGCCAACATTTCGGGGCGACATAGTGACTTCACTGGAGGGATCAGGTAGCGACGAGTCGTCCGCCTCCATTGGGGTCCATGAACATGAGCTGGTTGCTGCCCTTATTTGTTCCGTTCGGGAGATGTTGAAGATGGAGGATGCTCCCAGTTCTTCTGAGGTGCTTCCAGTTTAGTTTGGTACTCATAAGCTTAGGCATTCGGCTAAGGTTTTCCCATAGGTCTCCTTCTTTAACGATTTTATTTACAAGGAGTGGAAACGTCCCACCAAGTCCTTCCCGGTGCCTAAACGTTTTTCAGTGCGCTACCCCTTTGAGGAAGGTTTTATGAAAAAGTGGTCGTCCCCTTCGATAGTGGATCCTCCTGTGTCACACCTAAATAAGGCTACTGTCATTCCTGTGGAGGATTCCCCATCTTTCCGGGACCCCATGGATAGGAAGGTGGCGGCTACTTCAAGGACGATGTATGTCGTCACTGGGGCTTAGATTCGCCCTGTGTTGGCCTGGTCCTGGTCTCTCAAACCTTGACGGAATGGGCAAAACTATTTCACCAGGGTCTCGCTAATGAGCAGGCTTCTCCCACCTGCGTTGAATTGGCAGATCAATTGATGCAGGGTCTGAAAGGGTCTACTGTATGTCTGTAATGTGGCGCTGGATGTGGGTCTCTTGGTGTCCAAATTGTCAGTCTCGGCTGTTTTGCTTCGCAGGCTTCTCTGATTCGAGTGTTGGGAGTCCCACCTTCCGATCAATGTGTTGGAACTTCGAGCGATTCGATTGTCTCTTTGACAGTGGACTTATCAGCTTCAGGACTTGCCGGTTCGGGTACAGTCGGAAAATGCCACAGCAGCGGCTTACATAAGTCATCGAGGCGAAACGAAGCATAGCCACAGAGCGACATATTTAGCAGAATTTACCATCGCATGTGGAAGGCCTATATTGCATGTGGAAGGCCATGGACCTTCATCCACGTTTCTATTCAGTGTGCAGGATTCTAATTGTTCTTCAGCGTGGGGTGGATCAGGGTCTAGTCCTTAGCAAGGTCAGATTTTGGCTTTGGCTGTCCATTTTCAGCAGCCTTTGGTGCCCAATTCCCTGGTGCTTACTTTGGTGTAGGGGGATACGTGTATCGTTCCCCCCTTTAGGTCAGTTACCATTTTGGGATTTGCATTTGGTGCTTTCTGTGTTGCAAGATTCTCCTTTTAAAACTTTGAGAGATTCCACTTTTGTCTCTGTCTCAAAAAGTGGCATTAAAGTGGCCATTAAAATTTTCATCTCAATGAAGATGTTGTCCTTCCTTCTCTGTGTCCGAAGCCTGTTCATCGGAAGGAGAGGGCTCTTCATTGTCTAGATGTGGTACGGGCTATTCACGTTTATTTGGAAGTTACGGCTCCCTTTCGCCACCAGCAGAGGCCACCCCTAGGCTCTTGTCTTTGTGCCTAGCGTCCTTCTCCTGCAGGTGGCACAATACCC